TTCTCAAATGGGAGACTGTTCACTGACTTATCAACCCGGTTATGTGGAACTAAAGATTTAGTACTAAATGCTAAATTAAATGATTCTTGTGAAGTGAGAGAGAGGAAAATGAACATGGGGAAAGAGTTAATGTATTGAAATCGTACTTTGGAAACCGATGCCAATATCTTTTGTTTGAAATATATTGGCTCAAAGATGATAGTTAAACTTCATACTGTACTTCAAAGAGCTGCTGCCATGCGGAAGATCAAATGCTGAAACCATATGGGTCTCGATCCTAATTGTCAGCTGCTACTGTTAGTCACAAATGTGTTGTTCCCAGTGGATGAATGTGAAGACTGGTGGCGTGCTTGGTAAAAGTTTATGACTGACGCAAAACCTGATGATGTTCTACTGCTTTTTGCAATCTGTTTCTTAATACGATGCTGCAGGCTTAAAAGGTAAAATTGATCCCTCATGTAAAATGAGAATGAAGGTGGTCTAATGTCTGGCATCTTCGTAAAAAAAGCCCATTGTGATTGAGTGGCAAGTTCCACATTCACACTGCTGGCTCCTCGTCCTGTAAGTTTTATTCTTTCCCAGAGTGTGGCAGCGAGTGACTGCTTGAAGGGCCAGTTGGTGGTGGGTCGCCCTGGGATGATCATAGTCAGTGGCCCAGTCAACAAAAGAAATGTCTGAAGCCTGTGCTGAGGTTATCTGGCCTGCCTTTAGAGCGAGGGATTGACGCAATGCATGTTGCCTAACCGCCCTTTCGCTGTTTCATAAATGAGTCTGGTGAGTCTCCCGCTCCAGGCTCCGTGACTCTATCACCCTCACCTGGAACCACTGGCTCTCCACCTCCCAGAGGATAGAGATCATAATCCTCGTCCTCGCCTTCAAAGCCCTTCACGGACCTGCTCCTTCCTACCTCTGTGACCTACTGACTCCACGTCAACCTTTCGTTACCCTCCGCTTAGCAGGATCTGGCTTGCTCCTCGTCCCCCGCCTCCACTATCGGCGGTCCGGCCTTCAGCCTCTCTGCCTCCATCCTATGGAATTCCATCCCACAGGCCTTTCGCCTCGCTCCCTCCCTTGCCTCCTTCAAAGCTCGTCTCAAGACCTTCCTTTTGACCACGCCTTCTGTCAGTCTCCTACCCCTTCCCTCCCTGTCCTCAACACCTCCTGATCCCAACCCCCAGCTTGGGTACAAATCCTAGACTGTCCAGCGGGTTGGGAATTGTGCCAATGAAGATTGAGTAACTTTTTCAGCAAGTTTTTTTTTTGGTCTGGCCCAGTCATACCCTGGCACATACTGATTGATATCCTTGTGTTGGAGTCATGTGAACTGGCAGCTTCGATTGAACCTCACAGCCTATGTAGAGGGCTCTGCCAACTGGCACCTAAAATGCCATTTAATTTTTAATGTTGCTTCAGAGTACATTGTTCTGGCTGCTCTTTAAGATTGAATATAATGATTAATTTGATCATGTGAGAGCTTATTAAGCTGCTTTTTAAAAACAATTCTAAAGCTCATTTTGCATTGGCTATAGTTACACACCTTGTGGATAGTCTGAAGCCAAATCAGTGTAAGACATGGTGGTCTCGCCCCCACTTGCCCAGTTTGTAATGGGCTCACTACTCACTAAGCTCCAGTTACACAACAAAGTTTAGGTCAACGTGAGATTCACAGTGACTTGTATGTACTGTACATTAAGCAATTAAATGCTAACAGTGTTTGCCCAAGAATTGTTCTGGAATGATAATTGATATAACAAATTGGATCAGATTCATCCTGTCCTGAGTTATCATGGTTCTCCTTTATTGATGAATATTTTCAGGACCCTGTACAGGATTCAAACCACTTGTAAAAAAAAGTCTGCTTTGCAGTGTTGTAATGAATCATCTTAAAGTGATATTTGAAAACGTATTACTTCTCTGAGTGACAGTGGTATCTAGTGTTGAAATAATTAGTCTGATGAATTCTTGACGGACAAACACTAAATGTTTGTGACTGGACACTGGTCAAAGGACTGTATTCAGCAGAATGACTGCTCTTTAAACTTAGACAAGTTAACATTTCTGTACTTGCACTTACTTCACTACAATTGGGGAAAAAGTTTGTATATTTACTGTGTGCCACTGACTGATGAGTTGAAGCTTCTGTTTACTGATGGCAAAGCGCAATAAAAAGAGAAATCAAAGCTGCCATGTTCAAATGGCAGTACTCAATTATGAATATTCACAAATGACAGGTTCTGTACTGATCAGATTTGCTTCAATGGACTGACTCAGGTGATCGAAGTGCGCGTGTGGATTAGACTTATTGTGGCTTGAGAGTGTTTTTCAGCTGGGAATCCCAGTATTGCATGAGCTCAAGGGTTTGATGTTTCCTCTGGCATGTTTTCCTGTGTGCATTCACTTCACTGTCAGTAAAATGTATCTGAACTTTCCATCACAGAAAGATAAGACAGTTTATGAAAAATGCAAGAATTGCTTGGGATTGCCATAAGAATATTTATTTTTCTTTTTTGATGAGTTAATAGAAGTCCCGTAGTGTAGAGGATAGCTCTCTCACCTCAAATGCAAGGGGAGCCTCGGGTTCAATTCCTGATAGGGCAAAACCTTATGCAAATTTCCTTACCCCACACCCGTCTATTTACCTAGGAGTAAATAGGAACTTAGTTGTTAGTCGACTGGCCATTCAATCTATGATTGTTTGTGGAACACAACTAGGCACAATTGGCTGCCGTGTTTCGCCCTCAAAATATAATCAACTTTACAATATTGTAAGCGCTTTGAGACATCTCAATGACATGAGAGGGTGTTCTGTCAAATGCAAGGATTATTATTATTAAAATAGATTCAACAAATTTGCCCTTGCAGTCCCTTTCCAAATATGGGAAATTTCATGTGAAGGTTATATGTGGATTTCTGGTTTCGATGCTTTTAGCATAGCAATGTGTTTCTGCATGTTCAAAGATGTTGGCTTTAAAATCTAGCGATATATCTTAATGGCAATTGGATTAATTACATTATTTGTAATTCTTCCACACATGCATTTATACGAGAGCTAATTTTCCTATTTTTGTGTGCCACTGAGGTGCTTCCATTCTGTACAAGGAACTAAAGTAACAGATTTTTTTCACGTCCTCCCGACGTGAAAAAGCGCTATATCAAATGCAAGGTTTATTATTAAAGTAATAGTTTCACGCCTTTGGGGGTGAAAGCATGTTGGATGCATGTTTATGAAGCTGAAATTATTTCACAAGATCACAAGTTGGTTTGGATGAAGAAAACTCTTTGGCCCATCTGATCTCATCCTTCCAGAAGACCGTCCCAGCATCAAACTGTCTTTTATATGAGCCCACTGTCCTGAACTCAACCACCCTACAGGCCAACTATTCCAGTTGTTAATTAACCCTCTGAGTAAAGAAAACTGGTATCTGCTCTGAAACTATTCTTCATAATTCCAAACCTATGTTCCCTTATTCTAGTTGGTACATCCTAAAGTAATGATCTGGGTTTACTTGTTCAATCCCATTTAAAATCTTATACACCTCTATGTAGGCCGCTCTGAGTCATCTTCTCTCAAGACTGAATAGCCTTAGTTGGTCTAATTGTTGCTCATAGCTCATTCATTTACCACTGGGATCTTCATTGCTTTCCTCTGCACTGTGATGAAATATGATTGTTGCCTACATTCTTGAAGATCCTGCAGTAACTTGTTAGAAGAATGTACTAAACTCAATGTTATGAAGTAAACCGTTGATTAACCCAGGGCATTTGTTATTAATAAGAATCCCGTAGCGTAGTGGTTAGTGAGCTTGCCTCATAAACGAGAGGCCCAGGTTCGATTCCCAGGCGGGGAGAAACCTTAGGCAACTTTCCTTACAACACACGCCTCTGTTTACGGAGCAATATGTAGGAATCCACTTATTAGTCAATTGGGGATCGCCTTCTGGGGGTAATAAAAAAAACTCAATCCATGACTGTTTGTGGGACATAGCTGCCGCATTTCGCTCACAAAATACACAGTTAATCCACTTTACAATATATTCTGTGAAGCGCTTTGAGATGTCTTAATGACGTGATAAGGCGCTATATCAAACGCACGGATTATTATATTATGTTTATTTTAATATCTTGGCTCTCTCCTGCAGGTTATTTCCTCGTTCCCAGTAATGTGAGCCCATAGTCTTGAGACAAAAGGAGTTGAGAACTGTTGGTTATTTTTAACAAATGGGATTTTATTTTGGATTGAATCTATTTCAGTGTCTTATAATTCTGAAATTACGTGCACCTGTTTTTATTTCTCTCTTTTTTCTTCTTTTGAATAATGTTTTCCTTAAATTAAGTTGAGGTTAGAGAACAAAAGAAAATGAAAGCATAGAAAATGAATTAATTTTCCTCCAATCTTTGTGCTATCATTTTAAATGGCCCTTCCCCCCCAATTTTACAGTACCTGTTTTCCCAGGCTAAGACGTTAGATGTACTGCAAGGCATCTGCTAGCGCTAGATTGTAGGTGTCTGGAAAACAGATAGCCTGAGGTGACAAATGCTGTAATTTTGTTAGCCCTACTTTCCCATAGAATAACATACAGCTTCGGCTGCAAAAAGAATTCCAGCAAAAAGGAGATAAATGCTTTGTGCCCCACCTTGGATTGATTTAACTGAACGTTACCAACACTGTCTCTGCCTCTCTTTCTTCCTCTCCACAACGGACAGACAAAGATGAAGACACTGTCAAGTTTAAAAATGTTTTGGGGCATTTAATTGAATTTTCATTAACAATAATTGCTGTTTGCACAATTTACTAGTGCAATGTTGACTTAAACGATAGGCACAATATCAAATCGCATTCTGTTCAATTTAATCAATCAATGCACTCGATGGGCAATTTGTCTAATTTTCATCTCAATTTCCTGTCCCTTATGTGCATCCATGTGAAACAGATGCTGCTGGTCTGTAAACAAAATAATTAAAATGTTGTTTATTTTTCTATTTCTCCTTGCCAGGAAAGTGTTAAAGGAGATTTCTGTCGGAGACTTGAAACCCAATGAAACCGTACAAGCCAATTTGGAGGCACAGCTGCTGTCTAAGCTCGATCATCCAGCAATTGTCAAGTTCTACACCAGTTTCCTAGAGCGCGATAGTTTCTGCATCATTACAGAGTATTGTGAGGTGAGTAGCTCAGCTGGAAGAAATCCTGCAGTAAAGAAATTCTGATTGGGAAAATTAGTCCCAGCTTTCCTTTTCTTCCTTCCTCTCCCTTTGCTTTTGGAGCTAGTACTCCATTATAATACAGTAAAACTAACTTAAGTCTGAGGTTGATGGATTTCTAAAGGATATAGGGATTAAGGGATATGGGTATAGGGCGGATAATGGAACGAGGTTAGAAGATCAGCCATGATCTTATTAAATAGTGGGGCAAGCTCGAAGGGCCGAATGGCCTACTCCTACGTCTTATGGTCTTATGGTCTAAGTCTTATCTATATAAATCGTATAATTGCTTAAGTCATCCATGTACCCGAATCCCATTCCGTTTCCTATCAAAACCAATTAGATTTCTTTGCACTAGTCATTTTAATCAATTTGCATTATCACTCCCCTATCCTCCAGTACTCCTGCAGATACCAGCTGCACTGAACTGTAGAAAATGTAGCCTTGACCTGTCAACGTATGTGCACTTACCAGCAATGATTCAATGCGATTCCAATGCTTTCTGGTAAGTGCACATGTGGCGATGGGTCAAGAGGCATTGAATCACGGGAAACATAATAATAATAATAATAATCCTTTCATTTGATATTACTTCACAGAATATATTATAAAGTGAATTGATTGTATATTTTTGGGGTGAAATGTGGCAGCCAATTGCGCACAGCAATGTCCCTCAAACAGTGGATTGTTGATTGAGTGACCAAATTTTTATATTTAAGGGATTATTACCCCCGGTTAGAAAAACGCAAATTGACTAAGAACTGGGTTCCTAACAACCATGACAGCCAACATAGCCTTGACCCATCACTGCAAGCGAACTTACCAGCTGCAGTGACAAAGTACCGCATGTGCACTACTAGCTGGTTTGAATTACACATGCGCAGTGTAGATTATTGATTAAATCGGATTTGATACAACTTATATTTGCCTGCAACTTCACATAAATCATATTAAATGTTATGGTCTCGACTGATAATGACTTATGTGAATTTTATTATGATAATCGTTCCATAGTGCCTTTCACATTGGGAAGATGTTCCAAGTGCTTCACAGATGTCCAGTGACTGTGTGTTTTGTGGGTGAATGTGGCAGCTATTTTGTGCATAGCAATGTCTCACAAACAGCCATGGAGCGAGTGATCAATTTTATTTGAAGGATTGTTGGCAAGGACACCGAGAAACTCCCTTCTCTTTTCGAATAGCGCCATGGGATCTTTAATGTCTATTTGGACAATCAGACGTGCCTTGATTTAACATCTCATCCAAAGGACAGGACCTCCAGCAATGCAGCACTCTCCAGGAGAGTGCCATCTTAGACCATATGAGGTCCAAGTACTGACGTGGGGCTTGAGCCCACACACTTCTTACACAGAGAAGAGAGTGCTACCAACTGAGCTAGGCTGACAAAGAGAGCAAGTAGGTGATAGGTTTCTTCTGATGTCGTTCAGTAGTGGTCCTAAATCCAGCTTTAGCGAGGAGCAGGGCCTTCCAATCTTTTGTTTTAACTTTTCTTCTTATCCTCCATTCTTCATCTCTCTTTCACCTTGGTCTCTGACCAACTAGTGACTGTCCTGCTTGATGCTGAGGAACACACAATATGTAGACCTTTGTACGATCTGATAAACTGTAGCATTTCAATCTAGTATATGTTTTTTCTTTGCTTTGACTTCTCATGAGTACTACTCCCTGTATTTGCTTCATAGATTACAGTTGACACATAGAGAAATGCAATAAATGGGTCAAATTGTAGATTCAGGTATTTGTCCAGACAAACCCACTCTCTAGCCTCCCAGATCCCTCTTGTCATCTGACCTATTGTGTCAGCGATGTGATTTTTGAAAAATCTCACCCCTTGCCCATTCTCTAACCTTCAACAATAATGGATTGCTGGCTCAAAGATTATTTGCAAGGTAACTAATTAGGTAACCACTTGTCTGCCCATGTATTGGCACAGGCAACAGTATATTGGGCCTACAGGATATCACTTCCAGGAGAGAAAATGGTCTGCACCAAGAGGTGCACACTATAGTCTAATGAAATGTAAAGGACAGTCAAGCAAAGCTATTTTGCACAAAATTTATCATTGACTTGTCAAGACTGATTTCCTGCAAATATCCGAAATTGTTGTCAGATGCTCTTGTTGCAGGTAAACTCCTGGGAAGTTCCCAGTCCTCATCAGCAAGTACATGATTCCATGTTAATCTAATTAAACCTCATTCATTTGTTAAGAATTAGAAGTGATGAAATTTGGCATTTGATGAGCAGAGCTAGTTATAAGTTGAGTGTATATTGCTGAAATATATTTTGAGCTTTCCTAGTGTTCAGACATGCACATCTTTCACATGTTCTGTTGATTTGCCCACTAAGTGGTTAGTCTATGTTTTTTTAATTCCAAATAGACCTCAGCTGCGTGTCTCAATAATATAATATACACAGAAATCCAAACCAGAATACTGAGAGTTCTACATATGTGTGTGTATATATATATATAAAGTGCAAACTCCATCTCTCCAAGGGAGACTCTATGCTTACTTAATTGTGAAAAGTTTAGGCACAATTTAGAAAGTGGAGATGACAGCCTGCATTTGGGTGTAACCAGCTTGCTGTTTTGAACAGTGGTAAGGTTCCTGCTCCTTGTCCAGATTGCATCACTCTACCTATCCTGGCTTTGGCTTGCAGAGTTAACAAGATCCTTGGAGACCCTATTTAACTCATCTGTGCCTCCCAGGAGGATAGTCACCAGTTTAGTGGGTATGAGTTGATCACAGTTTGAGGTTTGTTTGAAGAACAAATTTGTCTATTTGCACTCTGACACACATAGCTCACGAGGACAACAATTCAAGAAACATGATCTTTTTGGAGCATGTACTCTCCTGATTTCCAACTCGTGGGAGAGGTGAAAAGGAGCCTCAGTTGGCTCCAGTCTCCCTGGGCTGGGAAGAGAAAAATTAATCATGTTTTTTACTCTCATTATTATTCAGTCTCCCTTGCTGGAAAAACGTCCATGTATAGCTATCTGGTGGGGGAAGGATCAGACTTGGCTGTGGTGCTCCCAATGGTTGCATAGCTGCTAACACTTTATGTCCAATATGAAAAGTGACCAGTAGGATAAGGTACAAAGTCAACAATGCCTGGAAAACCATACCCTGCCTTAAATCACTCCCTCAAGAGAGAGAAGATTGCAAGACAGAAGAAAAAGTCAGGACTTTGTACTGAGGAAGTGTTTTTTTTTTGGTCTAAAGAAATTATTTCTTTAACAGGAAATTTTGAAATGCAGTACCAGAGGGAATGACTAACTGCTGCTCTGTTGAACATTAACTAATGTGCTGAGAATGAAGGGCATTAATTATTTTGCAGTCCAAACCCATGTGTACTTATTAACTGATATGGAACAAGAGATGTGGAGGAGGTTTAACTTTGCAGACATGATCAGTAAACCTTTTGGGAAAAATCTGTCTTGGTGGAGATTGAATAACAAAGAGAATTTTAGATACTGCAGTGGGGGGAAGAGAGGAGGGAGAATACCTGTGGTGTACAGGTGAAATTGGTAGCCATTCTTACTCCTGTTCATTAGCATAATTGGTTGCTGTGAGCTCCCCTGTGCTGAGGATCACTGGTGAAATCTGTGACTGTTTAGACCAGCACATGTGGCCGAATTTGCACCGTGATTCTGGCAGCCATCAGACCCAGGTTTAAGTGAGCGCGATGGAGTGGGAATGAAACTTGTAAGCTCGAAGTGTCACTGTTAATGAGGTGCAAAACACTGGAGATATGCTTTGTGCCTGGTGAAGAATGAAATGTTATGCAGGTGTTACTCCAATACAAGGAGCAGGGCTGCAGAGACTGGGGGTGTCCTTGATGGCTCTGTGTTTGTTTTTGTCAGTATCTTTACAGGTAATGACATTAGATTGAGACTGAGTTGTTTGTATCCAGACAACATTTGCAGGATACAGTGATGCACAAACTGCCTACATATTGCACTTCGAATAGAAACATAGAAACAGGAGTGGGCTACTCAGCCCCTCGAGCCTGTTCTGCCATTTTATAAGATCATGGCTGATCTGTACCACAAGTCCATCTGTACCCCATATCCCTTAATACCCTGAACTAACAAATATCTATCTACTGCCATCTTGAAGATGTGAATGAATCCAGCGTCCACAGCCTTTTCGGGGAGAGAGAGTTCCAGATTTCCACTATACTGTGGGTGAAAAACTGCCTCCTAATTTCACTCCTAAATGGTGTAGCTCTAGTTTTAAGATAATGCCCTTTTGTTCTGCATTCCTCCACCAGAGGTAATAGTTAATCTGTATCTACCCTGACAAATCCCTTTATTATTTTAAAAACACGAATCAATGGTTTATATATGGTTTATAAAATAACAACAACATTACAATTATAGAGCGCCTTTCACGTCGGGAGGACGTCCCAAAGAGCTGAACAGTCGGGGCCCGAGCATGGGGGAGGGCTGGTGTAGGGGTGAGGGAAGGCAGAGAGGTGGGGGGGAGACCAAAGGCACGATCGAAGAGAAGGGTCTTGAGACCGGCCTTGAAGGAGGCAAGGGAGGAAACGAGGTGAAGAGTTCCAGAGTGTGGGGGCAGAGAGGCTGAAAGCCCGGCCATCAATGGTAGGGCGGGTCGAGTGGGAGACGTGGAGCAGACCGGAGTCCGATGAACGGAGGGAGCGGGCAGGTTGGTAGGGAGTCAGCAGGTCAGAGAGATAGGAGGGGGCAAGGCCATGGATGGCCTTAAAGGTGAGGACGAGTATCTTGAACTTGATCCTCTGGGGGATGGGGAGCCAGTGGAGTTGGGCGAGGGTGGGAGTGATGGGGTCACGGAGCCTGGTGCGTGAGAGTACACGAGCTGCAGAGTTTTGCCTGATTACTTACGTGGTGCCTTTTGCATTAGGATAACGTGCGTTAGCAAGATGATAAACATCACTGATTGGAGAGAAAAGGAGAAC